ACCGCGGACTTTGTTTGGATTTAGCAAACGGATATCGCGTAGACGCCACGTATACCTACTAATTGAACAATCACGCAGTTTTCGTTTGCTTAACGTATTTGTAGCAAATATTTATGAATCCGTGAAGTGCAGGAATGTAATAATAAGAGTGTTAATAATAGTTTATCCTTTGAGTTATTAACTGACTTCATTAATAAAGAGGATGTTGTCCATACGGTTGTACTTCGATGTGCCTGCCCTTAGAAATGACACATTTTTATGCAGATTTAGAAATCCTTTTTTATTATTAATGTTCCTTTTAATTAGTATTATTAAAATAATAAGTCCAGAAGTTTGACATTGAAAACAAAATTTTATTGCCATTTGTTGCCAGTTTATTTTCTATTTACTACTGAGTTTAACTGTGTTTTTAAACCACCCAGGAATCCATTGAAATAGGCAGACAAAAATTCACACAAATCAGTCATTAAGGAGTTAGTTGACAAATAAACCTATAAAATAATTATATATCTATTACGATTACTTACCTATAATAGTTTTTTTTCAATATTAAATATAATTAATGTAATTTTTGTTGTACTATATTCAATAGGTATGGGTACACTGCATGGCAAATACACAGTGACCCAGTTGTCGGTGTGCGCTGCACATGCGTGTTTGTATAGTCGCCTCGTCGCACTTCCTAGCCACCTTTGTTTCAGTTGCCGACTATGGCTGAATGGCTAATTTAGAATTCTACTTATCTGATTCAGTTGTTCAGTCGACCTGAATATTCAGCTTCATAAATTTCATGCTCGCGTCATAACCGATTGGTATGCTATTGTCTTCGTTTGATACTAGATCAACGTCTGTTTTTGTACACAAATAAATTGGCACTCAATCTCAAATCACCGAAACATACATGTAATAGCTACTTATGGAGAACTTATGTTTACTTTATTTACCGACGTAGATATATTGTTTTTTTTTTTGTAAATCCGTATACTAGTCCCCTGGTTTGACTGACAATCAGGACTTGGATATTATACCCTACTTACCAAGCTGCATAGTAACCGTTCTGCTTTAAGTAAATTGATAATAAAATTACATATCTATAAAATCTTATTCATCTAGTCTATTTACAGAAAAATCATTAATTTAACAGTTTATAAAATACACATTTTATAAACTGTTAAATTAATGTTTTTTTTTCCTTCATGAAACATTATTTTCATTAAACGTCAGTTTAGATATTTTAATAGAGCTAATTTGGACTATAATTCCTTTCAAGTCTTGACTCCTGTAGCTTCACTTGTCAGTTCTGTAACAAGTTATGTATTAATGTATACCTACTGTAGAGTAACATAAAAGCAGTAGCTATGAAATTGGACTGCTGAATAATAACTACCCCTAAGCCGAGGGAGTGAACTGAACTAATAAATTTATAATTTGGAGTGAGCGAATCTCATCGTGTATGATAATGGAAAGTCAACTATTTTCTGCTCAGTGTAACAGATGCCGCGAATGCAACATTTATGTGCCATCCATAATAATCAACATCACAAATGAATGTTAATTCAAGAGTACAAATAATCTGGAAGCTTTATGACATTGTCCCAATTTTCTATTTATGTAGTATGCTGAAGGCTCTTACTGTTATGGTACTTACTTGTTGAACTTATGGCCTTTGTACCATAAATGACAGATAATTATGGTGTATTATTATGTAAGTAACGTAAAATGTTCTTAATTTGTTAGAATATTTGATACTGTACCTAAGTAATTAATTTATAAACAGATTAAGCTTAAGTCGTACTCTTTATCATGGTATGATGTCTTTCATATGATAGTTAGGTAGTCTTCTTTAGTGATTTTAACATCTCGAAATTGGTTCCGTAATTTGGATTTTAACTGTTCAAGAAAAGTCCACTGTGGACTATACTGTCTTTACAAACAGGCATGAGAAAGTAAAAAAATGTTCCCAGTATTTAAAAATTTATATTCCGTATTTTTTATTTGTAGCAATTATAAAACATTTCGTTATTATAATTACTAAAATATTAGGATAAATAAAATATTATTAATCTCGGGGCTATTGCCCCGAGATTAATTGCCCGCTTTTGCAGTTTTTTATGACATATGTTATAAACATACCCCTTGATATGATGATGATGATATGTTTAGTTTTTATCCACCTTCAGAGTCCATGTTTTCAATGAAACGTTACTCCATGTCCAATTTTACTTATGATCATAGGTAAAATTGTACCTGTCCTATATATATAATATTAGTTTATATACATATTATTTACTTAAATTCAGTTTTTACACATATTCGAAACTTGTAATTTGTGAGTAAACAAAGTTAGCAAAGGTCACTGATTCTTAACACACTAGACTTATAAAATAATTAACAAACGTCATTCAAAAAGCTAACATAAATATTGGTTTTCAATGTTTTACATTTCTAATTGCTGTAAGTATATAATTATTAATATTCAATCTTAATTTATTTACGTAACTTAATTGTAGAACAACGAACCTAAAATTAAAAACCTTAAAAAATATAATAAAATATCCTAATTTATTGATATCAGTGATTCGTATCGTATTCAAAAACCAGATCATCATTTCAACTGTGTTGTTCGATAAACAAATTAATTAAAATAGATGTTTATTTATATTTAGGTGTTACATTCTTTAATAGGTTCTTACTCAAATTGAAAGCAAAGAATTTTTATTAGTGTGGTCCAGTCAACCTCTATAAAAACACTGACAACTCTCATATTTTATGTGGTTAACTAGTGAACCAAATTCATTGGAGCTAAACAATAAATGAGTGGGTTTTTATGAGGGTACGTACATAATGGTTATTACATAAACATTTTAAATTAATTTAAAACAGGTTACTTAACTTTTTACTTAGTGGTTATAATGATGACTATTTCTTATATTGGTAAGAACGAACGAAGGTAATATTACCTTCAACGATGATATATGTACACGAGAGATAAATATTGATATTTTAAAAATAAAAAATAAACAAATATTGTTTTACAATATTAAATTCTCTAATTTTGTAAAAAACAAAACCAAACGATATATTGGTAAAAAAACAAAGATATGATAGAAATATTACTGATTTGCTGGACTGTATTAGGATAGGTCTTGGTATTTGGAAAGGGATTTTTAGCAAAAGGGATTGTATTTTGCACGCTATGTATTGTAGAAGAGCAATATTACAGTAAAGAAAAGTGAATTGATAGATAATGTTTAAAATCCTAAATCAATAACTGCAGATGATGCCAAAACAATTTATGATAGCTCTCGTTCTAGCGATGGGACCTACATATACCTAAAAATGATAATATAACAGATTGTGCATAGAGTAAAACATAGCCAAGTATTCTTTTTGTATTAGAACCAAAGCCGGGATTTAGGTGCCGTTATCTCATACAGTGGGCCCATAAAATTGACATTACAGTCCACTAATGTTTCGCTCGCATTAGACACCATTAAATATTACGAAATGACACGACATAGGCCATATGCATTCTGAGATTTAAAGAGGAATTTCGTTGCAAAGTGCTATGAAAACTATTTTTACCATCTTTCATTTTGTTTTGATCATGAGCGTTTCTCATCTATAAACCTCATCCAAAGAATGAATACTTTTACTTCCGTTAAGCATCTTCATTAAAATTTAATAAAATGGCGTGTAGTAGGAATGTCTGTAATTAAAATTCATTAATCATATTCATTTGTTATAATTTTATATGTTATAGTTAATTATTAAAGTGCACCGCCTTATTATCTCTGATCAACGCGACGGTTGACTGGTAGAGAATGCCATAAGGCATTAAGTCCGCCATGTATACATTTTTGTGTGCAAAAGAATAAATAAATAAATAAATAAAATAAATAATCAGAATCAATAATCCCAATTTTTAATAAATCAATCAATTAAATGATAATGACTTATGACTTATTAATTGGGCTGTCATGTGTTTAGATGTTGATGATTCTATTGATGTTGATTATATTAAACTACACACATTATTGAAGTTTTATACGTTTAAAAAGATATTACAGTCTGAAGCATTTCATACTTATTCTTTTTTTACTTTTAACTACACATTAATCTTTCCATTAGAGTTTAGTATTTATCAAGATGTGAAATCAACAATTAAATCAGTGCCTAATGTTAACACTTAATCAAATTGTTATTTAGTTCATACGTAATTAATTATTAATTCCATATAATCTAAACACATTTATATAGCGTCACTTAAAACTACAACTTTAACACTAATATTATTAGCTACAACAAAAGTATTTTCCATCGTTGATTTTGATACGGTCGCTTACGCTGATTTTGATCTTGGTTATTGAGGAAAAAGCATATAATAGCAGTCTACAATAAGCATGAAATTGTAGATTAATGCACTGACAACTTAATCCATAAGATACCAGTTCTCGACACATACGCAACATGAATTTCCGTGACTGATCTGATCTCGTGTTAAATAAACTATACAGATTATCCCCATTTGAATCGCTTTTATTACTTATTTATTTTGAAGAGCATGCAATAGATGCATATTTTGTACTTGTTATATTGTGATCTAGTATTAATAAATCCTATTTTATTTTACGGTATACTTTCATGCTCATTATTATGATGATACTCTTAATCAATAGCCTATATTCTTTGAAAGAATTCTTCATTCAATAATTTATTTTTTAAATAAGCAATTACTTGCCTGAATAATCAAAATAATTTCATTAATACGGAAATTAACTATTTTTAAAACAACAATATTATCTTATATCAAAAATAATATTATTATCTTCCTATTTTTCTTGTATTTCTGTCAGCTTATTATAGGGCAATATTTTGCTAATAATTATTGCTGTATAACTGATTTAAATATATGTAAGTTACAATAATGGCGATTTTTAACTATACTATATTATTACTTAATTACTGTTTTTATATTACTATTTAATTACTGTTCACAGGTTGTTGGTCGAGAAAGTGTATTGGCATCGACAGCCACACGTGATGTACGCTGTGGCCGGCGACTGGTGTCGGGTCTGTTCACCCCTCCTAAGCTGCCAATTGGATACTCACTCGTGACCACAGTGCCACGAGGCGCCTGCCGACTCAATGTCTCGGAGATACTACCGAATGACAACTATATCGGTATGTGTTTTTTCTATGTGTAACAAAAAAACTGTTGATCCCACCTGATAATACTCAGTATAAAGTTCAAAGTGGTGGCAGTTTAGGAAGGCTGGGTCAAAGTGCTTCCTCTAATTTGGCAGCGAGTAATGATTACTGCTTCATCTGTGATACTTGTGAACGGGTGCTGCTTGAAGGGACTGGTCTATTCGGGTTTCTTCTACCTATTAAATTAGTTCCGTTTGAGAAAAATGCTGGTGAGCACGATATTCTCCTTACGAACTGACGGTAGATTTGTCATATCAAGGGATTAAGTAAGAGACCTATATGAATAAAGATATTTTGGTTTGATTTGATTGATAATACGTAGTAATTATCGCATGTAGTCATGAACAGCATCACTATAAATCAAACAATCGTGATGCCCGGGGCAACCATCATACTTCACCATGCTTAAGGGTTTAGGTATCATACCTCCGTGTACCCTGTAATTTAACTAAGATATCCTAAGGTTCAAAACGGAGTAGGGGTTCCTTCGTAAAATCCTTAGCAACAAAAATATATGGAACCACACAGACGGCTTTGTACTAACTTTCCATCTGATAGAATACATAGCAATATTAAAACTATGAATAGATAGATTACTTTAATACAGTTGTTTTCATTTACTTGTATTACTTTATATAGTATTTTATCATTATTATCAGCTTTTTTATCTTTGCTAAATATTTTAGATTATCAGACAAGTTCTACATCCTGAGTGTAACCGTCTTAACTGTTTACTTTGTTAAATAACAATGCGCGCATTGTTGCGGCGTGAAGGATAGTGCACGCACTTACCCGAGTGACAGAATAGTCTTAGAACACAGAGATGACAATATGAGTGTTACAGCACCATACTGTTTATGTGTACAATTAATTGCCTTAGTTATAAATATATTCGAATAGTCTATAAAAGTTTTAATTCATATATATTTATTCATGATGAATTTACAATTTTGTCAAAATCATTCCAAAACCATTAAAAACTAGATAAATATTTGTTAAGTACAAAAATTGGCATATAATTGATTAATTTGAAATTACACACCCGCCGACGGCACTTCGCTTTAATAGAGTCGCCTACGCTGTGAATTGAGCGTTAAATGAGAGAAGTCGTCTTTCCAATTGCCTGTTAATTATTTGCATGACGCATTCTATACTTTTGTGGTTGTTATCAATTAGAACAATATCCTTTAAGATAAGCCTTTTACCGATTGTTATACTTTTAGCGCTAAAAGCAACAAATGGGTCATACATCATAAATGGAGAGTTCGCGGTGAGTCCACCAGGTACTTACGACGCAGCAGGCGCTAGGTTCATCTACTCCCGTGCTGCTGGATTAGACAGGATATTTGCCTTGGGACCCATACAACATCCCGTCGAGATTATGGTAAGAATAAGTAAATTTATATATAATATAAACTATTACACAAATCTGTAGGTATAATACTTATATTCTAAATGCTTTTTAGATACTCGTCACGCGACAAAATGCGAACATAAAATACGAATTTTTAACTGATTCAACATCTGATGAAAGTAATTATATACCGAATGTAAATGATCAACGACCACGTCATCATGAAATACAAAGACATCATCGACATCGTAACTACGATCTGCATGTACGAGATAACGAAGTTAAACCTGGAATACAACATCCAAATTTTAAAACATTAGAAAGTAAATCTCATATTGATAGCAATATTATTGGTGACAGAAAATTCGTTTGGAAAATATTAAATTTTACGGCATGTTCGAGAAGTTGTGGAGGTGGTCTTCAAGTAGGGAAATTCAAATGCGTTGAACTAACAGAAATGGGTGACAAAGAAGTAGCTAGAGCATATTGTAGCGGTGTACCACCATCGCCACGTAGGCATAGTTGCGGAACAGCACCGTGCCCACCACGATGGAGAGCAGCTGCATGGGGTGCTTGCCCTGTTTGTGGTCCAGCTATACGAACTAGAATCGTTGGATGTGTTCAAGATCACGCTAAGGGGATTATTAAGGTTAGTAACATATTAAATTCTAATTAAATTGTTATATGAAAAAAAACGAGTTCAATAATATCTTATATTTTTTTAGATAAGTAATCAAAGATGTCCTCTTCCAATGCCCTCTACTAGCGAGTCCTGCGATATTCCAAACTGTGACGGTACGGCTGTAAAATCAGCAACACCAAGACTTGATGCTCGGCGTAACATACGACCAAATGACGGCACTGATACATTCCGAGACGGGCCGGTAATTTCTCTCGTCAGCAACGCATCCGAAAATGATATTACACCTACTATGTCTACAAATTACAGTTTTAGTGCCTCTGGTGGATGGCTGTATACGGAATGGTCTGAGGTATATATTAATTTACATAAGATTAAAATTATATTAATATACGGTTTCTTATACACGAATAGACAGATGAAGACAAGGAGAATCAAACGCCATAGGTGTCTCCATCCTTAAACCGTTCTTCAATCTGTAAATACCCCAATTGCACCTATTCTTGAATATTCGTTAATTATTACTAGTGATTGTATTGAACTTATTTCATTATCATGAAAAGATACGTATATTAAAGAACAATTTTTGCGTTTTGATATAAACTTTAACTGACACTTAACTTTGTGTTAACACAAAAAAAATCTTTATATATTTCTTCAGTCTTGGACGATTGAAATGGGTAGCATTTCAGTCACTCAAGACTAACTCTGAATTGCTGGGTAATATTGACTGCAATAACGGAGAGGACAGAATTTGTGGAGTTCTAGAGTTCTATTTTTTATGTAATAACAAGGAGTTTCTAGTAATATTACATTCCTTTATATAATAACAGAATATTATCAGCAGAATTTTATTTTTGACAATCTACAATGACAATACTTTACAGTGTGTGGGCTGGTGCGTTGGTGGTGGGGTGCAATCTCGTGGAGTACGTTGTGCTGATCCATCCGGATGTGCCTCACAGCGAACTCCCGTTCCCACACAAGCTTGCACTCCGAAAAAACACTGTGACGCACAGTGGTTTACCAGTAATTATTACATTTTTATTATAATATTCTTACGAAAAGTAACTTTAAGTTCTTCACTAAGAAGTTTTTGAAAATGTCACTGAAGTACAATGGAGTAGAGATGTAACGAATACCGCTTTCGTACTCCATAGTATGGAGTACAAAACTTCTAAAACAGCATTTCACAGTAAAGCGCCATGCATAAAATACAACACATGTTGACGATCCCTTGTTTTTTTTTGTTATTATTAAGCCAGGAAGGTCGCACACAAGCTTACGGCAACTTGCGCGTTGCCAATCCTTACGAGACCTTAATATGTATACCATTCTTGAAAAAACCCTGAGGCAAAAATTATAATATGTGACATGTGATTATTAAATCAATATCAATAAAGTATTTTAAATAGAAATTAAACTATTTTTATAAAAGAAATGTGCAATTAAAATTTCATTTATGACATTGTGTCATTAGGTGAATGGTCTGCCTGTTCAGCGGAATGCGACGGGCGACAAGTGCGGGGCGTTATTTGTATTGGTGGCAACGGTAGAAGATTACGTGACTCCTCGTGTAGAGGGTCTCGTCCGGAAACTGAGAGAGCATGTGGTGGTGCCTGTCAGCCATCATGGTACTTGAGCGACTGGAGCGAGGTTTGTTGCTATTAGTTTGTGTGTAATGTTTCAATTTATCTTTACAATTTATTGTATGAATTTTAAAAAACTTTAGATGAAGACGAGATTATAAATATACTATAATACAAAAACAAGCTGTATGGTTGTGTATATAAAGTCTTAAATCACTTAAAATATTTCAGTGCCATGGCCCTTGCGAGGCAGGCATGCAATCACGTACAGTGTGGTGCACGAGAGGCGGCGTCGCAGGTGCCACTGGAGCTGCAAAGGACTCTGAATGTATAACTCGAAGACCACCGGCGAAACAATCCTGCGTTCCAGCCCATTGTACTACTAGCCCTGCCGTTGTTAAACCCGTTCCTACAGGTTAGTATTCATTATATCGGACATATTGAAATGATAGCACCTTTGTCCAATATGTTGTGTATCCCGATTTCTTCAACTATTCATTTTCTAAATTGTTCAAATTCAAAATATATTTATTCATCAATGTCAATGATATGTCAAATCTACCGTCTATTCGGAATGATTTCGAGATGAGAAGAAATGACAAGAAACTCAGCTCATATTTTATTTTAAATGTTGTACATATTTACTATAATACAGACTCATTTCAATTCAAATTTAGGAGAATAGAGTGACCACCAGAGTGCAATTAAAAATAATGTATTAAAAAAGTTGTATTTTCTAATACCACGTAAATAAGTCCTTATCATAACTAATTTGTAATTTAGAATATATTTCCACTACCAATAAATTCACGAGTTTATTTTACTCTAACAAATTCCCATGTACTGTACGACGCGGTGGCGTGGTCTTAGTAATAGAACGTAGAATGCATTGAAAATTGTTTTGATAATAAAATTTTGTGTTTTTATATTATAGTAACAGATCCGCAGCGAGTAACAAGACACCAAAGTCATAATTCACATAATAATGGTAAGTTCTAATTACGTTATTAAGTAATTAACTAATAATAACCTCAATAGGCCAGATCACTAATCACTGTCGACTCCCATACTTTGTCTGCTGTATCTGAATCTACAATTTTTCAGATTTTTAGTTAATTCGTTATTATCTGATGTTTTCATCACCGGAGAGTCAATTAGACATAAATGTATTAGTGTGACCCAGATTCGAAATCATTCTTTTTAGGTTTAAGTCGGTGTAGTAAACCACTAGGACACGACGTTCGCATACTCACTCTATGTCTATTATTATTTTCTAATATTGTTCTCTTCTATTTTAACCCAGGACCGTGTATAGACAAACTTCACAAATGCGAATTGGCAGTACAAGCTCGTCTGTGCCACTACAACTACTACGCGGAATCCTGCTGCCGCTCCTGCCACGGCAGAACGTAACAATGGTAATTTGTTTTTCTTCCACGAAAAAACATTTATTCATTACTAACTTTCCGCCCGCGACTTCGCCCGCGATTAAAAATTCGTGCTCAATAGTGGTATATTATATAGCCTAAATCTTCATCTTGAGCTTTTTATTTATATACAAATATGTAAAAAACAGTGTCCTTGAATTATAACTTGCAGAATATTAATGTTCACATTGATCGATTGCTATCAATTTACCTAATTAATATTGTTAACGTACAATTTTTTTCACAGATGTGGTAACAAGACAAAATCTGCGTGTTGATGCGTATTGTGATACAAAATGGACTATTAGTGAGAAACGTTGGATGTAGCTACAGAAGACAGCTACGGTCGTGCGCGCATGTGGAATAGTTAGATATTCATGGAGACGTTATTGTTATTGACCAAAAATTCTAGGTTCTATGCCACCTAACTAACAAGTGAAGCACCCCAACTGTATCTCTCGTACAATAATCACACTGATATTTCGATATTTATATGATTGTACCTAACATACATTATTTTGAGTACATGCCATAAAATTGGAATGATTGTTCGTGCTTCATTTGTGCTCGTGTAATAGATGGTAGCGTGTTTTCTTGCCCATGATAATAAAAATGTATAAACCAAAAATGTTAATTAATTCTTTATCATACTTGAAATATTTAGAAAGAGTTCTTTTTCTTATCCAAACTGTACTTAATACTGCTTATACATATACATATTTTTCCCACTTTAAAGTATTGTCACTATGTTTTAATGGAATGTTTATTTTGTTATAACATTTTGTCAACTTCTATAAATGTATAATATAATAATATTGGAGCTGAATCTTTTAGATCTTTCTGCCACTTACTTTCAATAAACAATACTTATTTATAATACGTGAGACTCTTAATAGTTTTTATATTATAACTACCAAGATATGCATGCTTGGCTAAATTTAGCATAGGATTTATAATTGTCACATAGTAATTGTGAGTATTAGATATAGATTTTGTGATCTCCATGTGTTTAGTCGAGTTATGGATCGATCCTCGACTTTTATGATTTATTTTGTAGTTCGCAAGATAAAATTATAAGAATTATTCTAATTAATAGGTAATGCACAATGTTATTAACTGGGTTTTGACACTTTGAAGTTATATAAAAAAATGTAACTTGCCTATATTTTCATTGTGAGTAATATTTTAATATGTTTAGATATAATGAGATTAATTTCGCACTTACTTTTATACCTATGTATAAAATGTTTACTTTGACCATCTTAATTACATTGTGTAAAAAGCAATGCGGAGTGTTTGCTAAAATTATAATTATTTATATATACTATTAGGCACATATATATTGTAAGTATACATAAGTAACCCGTTGTTTGGTAAAAAAATTAAATAGATATTTTCATAATAATAATCATAAGAAGATTCCTAATTTATTTGGATGTTGAAACTCTGTAATAAATATATTATCTAATGACAGAATTGAGTATATATGTATGTAATTCTAAAATGTTAGGTACATTGTAGAATTGTTAGGCAATCATTGATTGAAGGAATAGTGAAAGTTAAAAGGCAACTTAATAAAAATTAACATTTTGGATTTATAGGTCTGAATTAAATTTGATTAAAAAACTTCAATACCATTAAATAAAACCGCTTTTGTATACAATATACAATTCATATTTGCATTTATATCTAAGTAATTTCGATAATATAAAAAGATAATTAAGTTATTCGCAAATTTATTATTTCCATTGAAACACTAAGAATTTATATACATTAAAATATTTCCCATATATATTATATATCCCATATATTATATACAAATGCCTTGATTTTGTAACACTATTGTAAAATTAATATCTCTGTTTACTTACACCATAATTATTATGTATGTATAGTAGGGGCTTGTTGTAACAATTTTTAAAAATAATGATATATCTTGAGTTGTATTGATTAAATTACCACTAACTAAACTTTCAAATTATTCTTCTAGTAAACCAAAGCGAAAAAAAAATCAAATCTACAGGTAATCACAAATAATTTTTTATTCATAAAAGGGAATTGTTACAATTTGCCCCCTGGTTGGGGTTTGTTGTAAAAATAGGGCAAGTAGTAACAACAATAAAAAATAAAAATATGATATCTTTAATCATTTAATTATCATCTTGAATGATTTTATAATAATTAACTGAAGCATACATTTTATATAATCAACAAACTAAAGATTTAAGTTTTTAACTATTTATTTTATTTCGTACTTGTGTATAGGTAGGTATTATATCAATATGGCACTTAAAAATCACAGTAAATTAAATTATAAACATCCAGATTAATAATTATCTCATAGTCCTAACTTACATCTTAGAATAAACTTGCAATGTCTCTTTTTAAAGAATTTTCTTGTGAATTATAGTTGATACAAACAAAAGAAATAGTATTTTCTGTGACACATCCTACATGTGCCCACGTCTTACATACAATACATTCAACCCAATTATCTTTTGAATGACTATATGCTTCCTCAAATAAGACAATGCCTCAGATTCTGAATCTGAACTTAGAATCCTTTTTTTAACTCTTTTTATTTCATCTTTATTTTTTGCTGATTTTTTACCTTTTCCTTTCCCCTTTTGCTTGCCTTACCCTTATCATCTTTTGTTTGCTTTTTCTTTATCTAAAAATAATAGCACAGCAATTTGGGGGCAAGTTGTAACATGTTACAACAAACCCCACGATTTTGTTACAACTAGCCCCAAGGTATAATTTTCAATATTCATCACTAAAACTATTAAATGAGTAATCTCAAAAATGTTACACGACGTCATAAATAGTTATATTTAAGCATCAAACAAAATACAAAAATCTCCAATTAGTTGAAAATTGTAAATAACCAAATATTTACGGAAGTAAAATTATACGTTACCTTGCGACAACAAAGCTCTTGCACATACTCACTCACTGCGCCGCCTGGCAAGACATTGCTATGATGAAACGGTGTGGCGCGTTACAATTGTAAGATTAAGTAAAAAAAATTCGTGTATAAAGTTCAAATTCCTATTTAAAAAAATCTGTTACTACTTACCCCTGTTACAACAAGCCCCGCGCTCCCCTACATTTAAATTCCTACTGGTTATGTATCTATTCAAATATCTGAAATGTAATGAACATCACAGTAATAAATTTAGAATATTATTTGTGAAAAAATATTTCGACAAACTGAATCTCTAGATATTTATATCATTTGATTACATAAGTTACTTAAGTAACCATAGTAACAAACAGTTTGATAATTATATGTATGTATTATCTAATATGCACTTAACATTGTACAAATATTAAAAGCTTTAAAAACTTGTTGTTTTTCATTTTGTAAAAGCACTAGATATGTCGTACATACATTAGGTAGATATGAAGTATAGGCTCTCCTCATACTTACGGCAAGTTAGGTTTTTTTTTGTGGATGATAATGGAATGGTGCACCAGCCTGCGCTAACGGTTTACGCTGGCGGGGCACCAGTGGAGGATTATAAGATGAGCATGAGGTCAGATCAGTTAGCCCATCGTGACATATTCATCAAAACTTATGACGATGGTTTCCAGGGGGAACCGCGTGGAGGTCAACCTGACATGGTACATTGCTAGTAATAGGTTCATTAGTCCACATTACTAACAATCCCATTTCCCCCCCGGCAAGTTAGGTTCTCGAAATACGCGACGTACCAAATCGAAACTACGTAAGTGGAGGCATATTTTTTTATATGTTTACATGTAAAACTCAAGGGTTAGGATCCACACGGAATCAAAATTGAACTAAACTGTTTTTTTTTTTTAATTTATATTGCCTGTAAAGATTAAAAAAAATGTCAGGGGTGGACAACCCTTATCACTTAGGTATATGAAAAATAGCCGATTCTCAGACTTACTGAATATGCACATAAAATATAAAAATCGATCATGCCGTCGAAGAAGTATGGTGTAAACTGACATTGCGACACGAGAATTTTACATCTAAGATAAAATACCGTTTATATGTTAGATAATCATGATGTTAGTCAACGATGGCTGGCTCGTGAGCGGGTGCTGCTTATGAGGACTTGTCTGTTCTGGTTACGGCAACTAATTCAATTATTTTCTTCTGACAATAACGCATTAGCAAATGATAGTGGTCACTACTTTCTCCGTAATTGAATTAAAAAATAAATCTGTATTCTTGTGATCATTCAATTTTATACGAGCAAGTTTATAGCTCATTTGAAAAGAATAAGAACTGAGTTTCTTACCAGTTCATATTACCTGGAAAGCTCTACGAACGACTTTGTAATAGATATTATATTACAATGTCATTCGTAGAGCTTAATAAAGAAGAAAATAAAAATATTTTTAATTTGATTAACAGTATGTTGATTCATAAATTACACATAATAGTAATATAATGTTTATATCAATTAACATTATAGGGACTATTTATATTCCACACATGCAAAAGAGAATTAGAATTGTTTGGCCGCTCTCTTACAAATCACAAAGATGGAAAACGACGGTGAAGTCACAGTTCGTCTAGTAATCGATGTATATTGTTATCAATAGTAGATTATACCTAAGAGTGACCACAAACTGCTTATCTCTTTCCACAACAATGTGGTTGACTGGAGCGGATACAATGTTTCACAACAGATAGAATTTATCACACCTGATATAATTTGATAGTTGGCAAGTCTCATAGATATTTTTTACTTACTCGCCAGTTAGTGTACAACATCTGCGTGGGACTATCAAGTTATTAAATAAAATGTCTGCACCACCTCCGCCGCCGCCGCCCCTACAACCGCATTTACCAGCACCACCTAGACATGTAGAGACAGTGCATATTGTAGAAACAAATACAGCAAGTGTCGCGGTGACCATTCTAAATATAATCAATGCCATCACACATTGGATGTTGGGAGGAGTGGCAATAAGCGCTTTCATGTACGCTAATAATTTAAAAATTTTTTCTCCTATCTCTACTATAAGCACGCATATATATTTATGTGTATCAGGGGTAAGTACAAAAAATATTACTTTTAAATGTTTAAAAAAAAACATTATACTTTTTGAATACATCGTTAGGAAAATATTTTGACCTATCAACTTACAACAAAAATTATATTTGATATATTTTACAAACTCGATACTTTGCTCAAATGGCTTAGGTTGATATATTGTTTATTATTTTCTAAACTCAAATTCTACACTCCAATATACCTAAGTATAAATAGTCTTACTGGTTTCACGAGTTAAACGTCCTACACTTTTGTATACATTATTTTGCCTAATAAAGGAAATATGAAATATTGTCCATTGCTACTACATCTTCCCAAAATCCTAGAAATTGAGACAGTCTGAATCTTTATTAGTATGCCACTGCATTTGGAAACTGACTGGAATAGCAAACAATCTATCGGACTATAATACGGTTCCCCCTGGCAACCACCGTGATTAATTCTTGATGAATTTGCGATTAGGGGCTAATTCATGCTTATCTTATCAGCTTCCAGTGGTCATCCACCAGCGTAAACCGTTAGCGTAGGCCAATGTTCTATTACATTAACAAAAGAAATAGTAATAGGCGCATGTGGACTACGGATATCAAGACGTCATATGCCGTATAAAATACACCTTATCAGTTGCTATTGCAGTTAATGAGATGCCATACCCTGTAATTCCACTGCCCTTAGTACAAAATACACTTTACAAAGACACTTTGAACACGACTTTGTGTAGTCTACTTAGATAAAAATCATCATCATGTTAAGTAAAATGTATATATTATTTTCAGTATGTGCTATTAATGAGCCTGGCTGTAACATCTATGAGTCCTTATTCGGGCTTTTCGAGAACCTTCAACCAAAAGCAAAAAAAGACCATACATTTCGTTTTACAAGTGTTGGGATCTATTCTTGCTCTAGCTGGCAGTATTTTACGAATAACTAGCCTCAATGAGAACTTTAATAGTACACATGGAATTCTTGGTAAGTCGTATAATTATTTTTGATCTCTATTTAATACTTTCTGTAATAATAATAATATATGCATACGGATTGTCAACTGTTAACGTCGTAGTAACATAATACTTGATATGCCGACATTTCCGTGGGGATAATGCCTGGAAAATGTCAGCATATCGGTCTATGTACATATACCATAATTTATAATAATAATGAATATATGATATATATATATATATATATATATGTACAATATATTGCATTTTAATAGGTTGTATTTATTATGTTATGTTGTATTTGTTATTATAAATTATTATTATTAAATTGTCACCTTATAATTTAACACATTATATTTCTAATCATATATCCACATATACATATATTCTTTATATTATTAGGCGTTTGTCATATCTTATCTTAGTTAATAACCATTATATTGTTTTTAATTTTTTTTTCCTGTAATGAATATTTAAAACGACATTTCTTTTTCAGGGTGGGTCGCAATGATCCTAACATTTCTGAGTCTAATCGGGGGAGTGATCAATTTGTACTCACAAAAACTAAATTTGTTTCCGTTTCTAATCAGATCTTGTCACGCCTGCATTGGCTGTGTTACCCTTATTGTTGCTTTTTTGTGTCTAATATTTGGTTTCACACAAGTTAGATTTATGGGAGAAATCAATGCTAATATGAGTATAGGTCTTACGGTATGTGCTTTATTGGGTGTTTTATTATCACCATGCGTAACTTTTGTTAAGAGATTATTAGCTCGTAAGTAGCATTTATATTAGAAATATTTAATCTACTTTTATTACGGGAAGCATGATTGTTTATTTAAGAAGAAAACTTTATTATTACTCTGTACCAAGTCTCTGGCTCTAGATTTAATTTCTCCTTGAATTCATGGGCTACTAAACAAAAAGATATACCCATTTAAAAATAATTAGTATTATAGTATAGATATTATAAAAATTCCTAAATCCTAACAAACAATGAGACAACCAACAAATTAATACCGACAACCCTTTATATTTGAGTAATATTTTAGGATCTTGTCAATGGTTTTGTTACATGTCTAAATTATACTAAAATTTTACTACATATATTAATTATATATGTCAAAACGTAATAATATTCTAGTATAACAATATACACATAATGTTCAGTCCCAAAGGCTCGTGCCGACTTTTTCGTTCTATTAGCGCATTGGTTGCTACACGCCACTAATTTTGAAAATACGCCAATCGAACGATGTCCTTGGCACGCGCCGTCGGGATTGAACCTGTTAATAAGAGCCCAGATGTACTGCTGCATGCAAATACAAATAAATGAACTCGATCATTTTCACTTCTAACCTACACTTAATACAGAAACCAAGCTAGGTTATGTTATAAAAAATAATATAAAGTTAACTAACTTATTTTAAAGATATGTGTTAATTTCGTGTACTTTTATAAATAGAATTTATGTCTGTAAACTACTTATTATTTTAATTATAATTTTTAATTATTTTTTTTTTTTACATATATAATTTTAGATATAATAAATTATATATTATGATAAATATAATTATTTTAATTATAATTTATTTAACTGTATAGTTTTGAAAATGTATAAGGAATAATAAATTAAAATACTGAATATATTTCAAATGTTTCTTTATCACTTTTTCGTTATCTATTTACATTATTCTTATATTACCTTAAAATATTTATTACTTTAGGTTTAAATATATTTGACATTATCTACTAACTATTTTAGAGTCATAATACTATTAGGTAGTTAAAGTTTTTTTAATTATATCTAATAATTATAACTTACATTGGGAAAGTGCAAAATGAAAATATATAGTAAATATATTTCAAAAGTAAAACTAAATAATTAACACTGTATTTAAAAAGTATATAGAAGACAATTAATATATATTACATGATTACGTATTAAAATGTTAAATTCAGTTTAAGTAATAAAATCATTTATAACCAGCGGCTTTATCCATGTTATTTCAAATAAATCGAGTAAATCTAGAGATCACTCCATCGGCTTAATAAATTTCATTAAAAACTGTTTAGCCATTCAAACATGATTGGAGAAAGTAAGTAGCTATTTATAATTGCGACTATAGCTTATGTATTATATATTCATACCAAAATAATCCCATAAATGAAGAATAGTTTGATATAATCTTGAGTGCTAACAATATCTCCATAGAAATTATGTCTCACTGGACTGTACTCATGTGTACATCGTAGATTAGACTAGATTAGATTAGAAAATATTAGATAGACTACTAGAACTGCCCAATCGGAGAAAAACAAACTAAACACATAATATGAATACCAGTTTTATTTTTATAACATTCACATTCTGAAGCAAGTGTATGTCGGATATGAAAAGAAAATCATCAAGGTCAGAAAATTATAGTAGACGCATAACTTATTATTTATACAAGGGCGGAAGCCAATGGCGCTCTTTTTCTATAGCTACACTCTATAATAGATGTGCGTAATAATAGATACAATAAAGTAACTATATGGTAAAGTAAAAATGATTTATCCAACACTGACTCATTCTAATAAGAAATGTTCAAAATCTATTATTATAGTCATGTATAAGTTAAACGTAACTGGAAATTGCAAGTGAATTCGTACCATTATCTAAAAATAATACATACATATGGAATTATTAAATACAGTTCAGCGTCCAGTGCATGAGTTGCAGCAATTCTGTATGTAGTAGTTGTAATGGCACAGACGCGCCTGTACTGCCAAAACGCAGTTGTACAGTTTATCTTCGCATTCTGTGAACATTGTTACCATATATAAGAAAATAAAATATTAAAAAAATATAGTAAATTAAATTTCATTAAAGATACATAATCTTTAATGAAAAATAGACAATGACAAATAAAAATGCCAATGGTAGAGAATATACCATATAAAACACCCAGACAGATGCAAACAGTCATACTATGGAATGAAATACTATTGCACCCCGCATGAACATAAACGTCAAACTTTTAGATAAAAATAATTAGAACCGTAAAACATAAATATTTTATTTTAAATACTGTTAATGCATAGATTTGTACATACAAGAGTAATTGTTCAGTGTTTTTGTAAGATTACAAGAAATTTCATTGGATATTGGCTTTTATGTCTATAAACCCCAAATTACCTCTTTTTATCAGATGAGTGAGTTTGTATGCCAATCTTAATCATGTACTAATAACGTTAGAACTATTTTACCTTTGGACACCTCTCTGGTGAACGTTCTTAGTGTAGTAGTTGTTTCCGAGTCAGGGTTGCGTTGGGACACTGTGAATAAATATATTATATATAACAGTTGTAATTATAAAAAAAATTCGCTGAGAAGAAATTGTTTTTGGAAGTACTGTCTGCACGAAATACCAAATCAGCAGCCGATGTTACTCCCTTATAATATAACCTTCGATAGATGAAGCTTTTATTAAAATTAGAAATATTTGGAATTTAATCAATAACAAACAAAAAACCAAGTGTTTATATTTTATTACATACATTAGTAATACAAAATAATACGGACAGTGACACATTACATTTCACTTCACTATCCGTGCACTACTATTGCATTCCTAACTTACAAGTAGTACTCACTCAAGGATATGTCTGAAGATGAAGTAGTGACAGTAACTGTAGGACATCGAGGTGTACATTCCCGTTGCGCGTCCGGCTTATGACTTTTACACTCCGATTCGTTACTCGCATCCGTTCCGTTATCGCCCTGCCTTATATCGCGCGTGCATACGACACTCCGTTTTTGTACCCCAATTTCTACTGTACAATTACTGGTACACTGAAATATGATACAGCTTTAATTTGAAATGTTTTTATATGTTGTAATAATTAGAAACAATTATCAACATTACTACTCTCAGATTAGTCTCAGGATTGGATAGGAACAGATTTATCTCGAGATAAGCAACTACGAAACATAATACTGAAGGTTCTTATATAATAATACTGGATTATAGAACACCTTGATATAATGGACTGACTCGAATATTTCGGTCAATGCAACGCTACTAATACTAATGCTATATCGCTCTTTCAAAATTATAATTTGTAAAATTTATTGAATAAAACGAAGTATGTAATTGAAACAAAATCAACAATTTCTAAGTCCTATCATCCGTTGACGACATCAACATGTTTCATCTATCATTAAATACTTCACTTCGTTCATATATATATTTCTCATGTACCTACTTAAATAAATTAATATAACAAAGTGAATATATATTAACAAGTCAAATAGACGTAATAAAAGTAATTTTGAGACACTAAACATATATATTTAACTTATTCTATTGACATACTTTAACTTCTTTTAGTAGTTTTAATATAAATATAGATATATTTTATTTACCTAAAAAATAATACAAAACTCACCTGGCCCCAGTCACTGAAGTACCAAGTCGCAGAACACGAATCTCCACAATCTCGCTCGTTTTCAGGCTTGGGGGCCTTACAAGCAATGTCACGAAGATGTCTTCCATTGCCACTAATACAAAGCACTCCTCGTACTTGCTTCCCCTTACAAGAAGATGAACATGGCGACCATTCTCCTGAATAATTAAACTTTAATTATCATATCAAAATTATTGACTATATATCTAAATGTATGTATGTATTATTTCGACTGTGTATAATTTCATTTAAAAAGACTTAGGCCCATATTCGTAGTTCTTCTCGACTCAAACTACAGAGTATAGTATAGTTTTTGAATTAGAATTAATGGCAGATTTAACTTATCATGAATTATACAGACATCTATTATAAGTCATGACCAATAAACGTATATATATTTTGATTAGCTTGATTTCCAGGGAATCGCTAACAAAGAAATAAATAGATATAATAGAATGTATATACCATACGTCCTCACCTCAATTATTATCAGTAGTCCTAAGAGATAATTACATCCCTATAGCACTCAGTTGTCTGTTTACTTGGACAAATAGATAATGTAACCACGTACAATTACCTGTAAACCACTGGGCATCATGAGACTCGCAGGTTAGTTTAGGAGTACAGGACCTAGAAGCCTCGGGCGCTTTCCTCGGCTCACAGCCTGATGGGTCCGCACAACGGATACCTCGGGTTTGCACTCCACCACCCACGCACCACCCTACACACTTATGAAAAAACAGAACAGTACACATTATTCAGTTGTAGGTATCTGTGGCGTGTACGTAATATTTATTGCAGCTGGTATATTACAGCAAATTTGATAAAAAAGAAGTTATAAGTGTTTGTTAAATATCTAGTGGAATAACAATCAGTCAGATACAATTTTGTGAAATACATAAGCACAGCCAAAGACGAGAGTGATATCAAGATATATGAACATATTTTTCTGTAATCTATTTACGTAGGTTTTTACTGTCCATTACAAACGCCATCTCTGTGTTTCAATTGAGATAAGGCAGTATAATTATAGAATAAGGCAGGACATCTTAGTCCTCAAGAATGGCAACGCATGAGTGGTATTAAGAGTGTCACATGATAACTTGATGAAAATAGAGCTGTTCATGTATGGACGATGATCACTAATTACTGGAGCGTTAACTCGTTTGCCATTACATATGAATAAAGAAAAGTCAAACGTTTAAAAAAAGGAAACCTGTATTGAGATATCATTAAACAAAATTTATAGTGCAATGTTATTTATCCCTGATTGAAACTATTTTATATGCTGTATATATATATAAAATTTAAATTCATCCAAAATACTAGCTTCAACGGAACTTACTTCTGTCCACTCCGTATAAAGCCATCCAGCAGGAGCACTGAAGGTATACAGTGGTCCAATATCGATATCAGTACTATTCGCAGCAACGGTATACACCGGACCGTCTCGGAAGGTATCTGTGTTTTCTCTCGGGCTTATAGCAGACCTGCCGCCAAGAGTTATGCCTGTCGTGGGAGGTATGCAGTCCGGGATGTTGCATGGTTCCGTAATTGGAGGTTTCCGACTATTGCACTTTGTATCGCTGACCTATTGATTGAAGTAAGGTACGTCAATTAAAGTAGAGTTCATCGTTTCATTAGAAAAACATATTACGTATAAGAGAGTGGATGTTTTAAATTTATTCCAAAAGATTTTTTGCCATATATTTAATTGATGCTGAGCTCCTATTAGTTGTATCATGGTCTTATAGCCTGTAATGTTTGTCAAGAAATGAGCTATCCGACACTAATATAATTTTTAAATTTGAATCACTATATACTAAAATCAGTGCATTCAACTTAACAAACTAATTATTTTTAAATATTAGCATAAATAAACTTACTTTAGTGATACCCCTCCAATGATCCTGCACACACCCGACTATCCTTGTTCGAACAGCAGGTCCGCATTTAGGACAAGTGGACCACGCAGCAGCTCTCCATCTCGGTTCACAGGGAACATTACCACAACGCCGTCTGCGACCAGCAGGTGTTGGGCCACTGCAATGTACTGAAGATACTTCTCTGTCCGTACCCGAAGTTGTTTCTACGCAGCGGTATTTTCCTAACTATAAACATATATTGAACAATTGTTAAAATAATATATAAGACATTTTTAAGTTTACTAGTTATGAAGTCATTTTTAATAAATTGCTATTATTATTACAAAAACATATCTACAATAAAAAAATAATAGATATTTATTATATTTATATATCTATACTTTTTGCAAACCTTTTTAAAAATTATTAGAAACGACTAAATTTATGTTTATTCTGATACTAGGTATCAGAATGTACATGACATGTACATATACACATAGTTAATAACACATTCTTGTAAAATAAATTTTACCTGAAGTCCACCGCCGCAAGTTCTAGAACATTGCGTAAACGTTAATATCTTCCAGATAAATTTCCTAGTACCGACAATATTTTCTTGTATGTCATCATCTTCTTCTTGTGACATGCTCGTTAAATCTGGATACCTCGAGAAATTAGGTCGTGAATGTTCAAAACTATGGTGTCTTCTACTATGTTTGGTATGTATTGATGGCACAATATCGGGGAGATTGACTTGTGTAACCACTTCTATATCGATATCTCCTGGTTTTGCTTCTATGTAGTACTCATATTTTATGCTCGGATTCGGTTGAGTATACAGTATCTGACAAAATAATATTATGATTAACGAAGTAATTACAATAATTTTAAACTATAATGAGTGTACACTTGTAAGTCTCAAAAAATTGCTTTTAATTTTTTGAGACAATTAGTTTTCAGAAGAAAATAAAGTTTTTAATTCGATGATATTTTATAGGTGGATCGCGTTTTTGATATACATATATGAGATCAATATTATTATTATTAGAAATTTTACAATTTTGAGAGTCCAAGATTTTTATGGAATTTAGCGTATAGATTTAGATTACATTAGACTTTTTAACTATATTTACCTACATACTACATGTATTTATACAAATAAAAAACCTTTACTGATACTGGAGAATCCGTTTAAAAATTACAATTATTCCTAAAATAAAATCCTAATATTTCCTAAAATAATATTATTTAACAACTCTTTAAATAACATTATCATAATTTAGGTAGGATAGTGTTTACATACAACTGACTGCATAAATAGACAAATAAGACTCTGTATATAATTAAAATGCTTACCATAATGTCAATGGGATGAAGCGTAGGGCCTTGAGCAAAGACGCTATCAAGTCCAATGGCTCGCGTGTAAAAGAACCTTGTGCCTGCTGCATCGTACGTCCCAGGTCGACTTACGGCAAACTCTCCATTCATTATATAAGAACCATTCGATATCTTCAATGCTGGACATAAAAAGGTAAAGTTGTTTTAAGTACTTTACACATGGCGTCAATAAACTCTATAATTTGTAAATCAGAAATGACACTACATAATTTCATTTAGATGAATTTATTAGAAAACTATTTATATTTTTAATATTATTACAATGACAAAACATTATTTCTTTTAAGATAATCATTTCTATATGTAATCTACACCGTCTAATATGGCAACAACACATTTATTTAATCAGTAATTAAACAATAGCCATATAACAAATGAAAATGAAGGTCGATGATAATCTACTTAGGTATGGAGATAAGATCTCATTCGGGTCATCAAATAAATTTCGCTTTTAGATATATTAAATGCTAATATTAGTTGACTATATTGTATATGTAATAAAAACTGTATGTAAAGTCTGTCATTAAAAATTCAATTAATGAACATTTACACCAACTATAATATATGTATTAAGTAGAATGAGAGAAACGAGTGATCACGAATGATTGTATCATTCGTGATCACTTAACTGAAATTTTGTATAAACGGTTACTATAATCATCAATCAAACATATGTTCAAATTATAATTACTCGCTTCATTGTAGCCTTGTCGGTAGTTAGAAATTGATTCCAAATGGAACAAGCTCAATGGCAAGGTGAGTCTCATTCACATTTGCACAGACAACGTGGGCGTGCTATTGTACATGATCTCAAATGATTTACGGTCAGTCGACATGCTGATTGATAAGTGACCAACCTTATGTTCGCGGACCATTTGCCTCCGTCAAAGCACTATTCAATATTGTGGAGTAATGGAATATTCAGTCCAATTCTGTTAATCAATATATACATTCTCGACTTCCTCCTAGATATTCATCCGCTTAAAAATATCTGTATTTCACATTTTTTATTTGATTTTGCAAATTCTGGGCTGATTTCAATTATTCTCATTGTAATTGATAGTTTACTTTTGTACCAGTCCATATCAATTTCATCCTATTGTGTATGATTATACACAATAGAATGTCTTCTTGCCGTCTTTCCTTGTATATTGCTGTGTAAAAATGTACTTTCATTTAACTACTACAAAGTAGTACCTATCCTGAATTTATATTTCAAGATTTTGTTTTTTTTACAGCATATTATGTAAATACGATTTGTTTGATAATCCTATAGAAAGTGTAGATTTTAAAGTATATCGTGTGAAAAGATATTTTTATCTCCACCTATCATTCAGATAATCTCAGTATCACACAATCAGTTCTTTTGTAGGTATCATTGGTGCAGATATACTAACAAAATAATATAAAACTCTCCGATTTCTTAGTATTATACAATAAAACATAATTTATTAAATTAATAAATAACCCAGGTATAATACAAAGAGTATATTTTTAAATACATGCGTAATAAATTAATCTTGCCTTTTTACTCATTATTAGGAGTTGGCGCATTTTACATTTTGCACAGGTCCCTATGAGTTTTGAAACTTTGAAACTTATTTACTTACTCCTTGTTTCTTTAGTCACTTTACATATATGTAATGTTATATAATAATATGTATATGTTCATATTCAATTCCTTTTTTAACGCATGGTCCTCGTGGTCGCTTGTATATATTAATATGCATTTTTTTATACACTTATATCATGAGTACATCGAATCCGCTACCATCGAAACGTGAACGACTGATGATGTCAATACTGAAAACTACCGTACAGTAAGTACTAACCAATGTAGTTCTCGGTGGGCAGTATTTCTGTGACGTTGAGACGACAGGCGCCTCTCGGTACTGTAGTCACGTAGTTATATCCGAGAGGTAGCCGTGGACGATTGAACAAGCCAGATACTAGACGCCGACCGCATCGCACATCAACTGCACCCACCGCTGCCAGCACTGATTCCCGTCCCACAACCTGTGAATTAAATCTTTATTATTACTGTCCCTATTGCCTATATGAGATTGCTTTAAGACCGCCATTTGTTAGACTCATTTATGCAAAATGTTTTTTTATACTGACTGTACCTACATATTTTTTCAGTGCAAAACTAAACCGGTATTATTAGGTATACATATATGTCATACAAAGAAGATACAAGCACATAAATTTAACAAAGCAAAAGAATAATAATATCGTATTACATTTTAAATAATTTTCACTCAGTGACTCTCGACAGAAAATATGACTCTTCATAGTTTTTAATAATATTTTTCTGTATATTAATTTTGTCATGTTACTCTTTTTACAATTACTTAGTATAGCAAATACTCGATAAACAAATTTCCATACACATGAAAGTACTTATGTCATCATATGAAATCAGTCACAATTTACAAAATGTAGTTATTAGGTAGGTACATCCTAGGTATATCTTAATAATATGCATAAAATACCTATGTTATATAGCTACTTATAAGCAAAATATCTTCATTAATTACATTATAATATCGTTGTATTGTATAGGAATACACCTACAGTATCACATCATCATAAACAATACTTCCTACGACTTTTTATTATTAATTAAAACTACTTATGCAAAAATGTAGACTCATTTTGTTCTCACTTTTAAAAAGGTAATACAAATAAAATCCGATTCTTGTTGGTAATAAAGAGTGGTTTTTATTATTATTATAAAAAAGCCGCCATGATCGTGAATGTGTAAACATGAAATTTGTAAAGATTGTATCATGACCAGAAGCCGTATTATCTAGGTCCGTAAATGTCAATGCGTAGTCCGGTTTCTACTCTAAGCGGTTCTACTACCACATAAAGAGAAAATTGTCTCTTTTTAAAATTTACTACGACATTTATTGGTGAATGACAAGCGCTATTTTTTTCATTTAGCTATATTAATAATATATCTAATACATCACTGCGAACAGACTACAACTAAACATGATTACTGTAATTGTAAAAGTTTTACATAAGCAGCATATACGAGTATTTCAGAATAACTGCCAGCGTAATGATATTTTTATGTATATAAATGTAGATATAATTATCAATGTCTTTGTAGTTTATGCTTGGACTGACTAGGCAATCTAGTTAAAATAGTACTTGTTTATTATGTATTTTCCAATTGTATATCAAAAATTGTTTCTCATCTTCAAAATTAAATTAGTATATTATGGAACACACATTACTATAAAAGAAATAATACTACTAATATATTTGTTGATGCTACATAAAGTAATAAAACTACGTGACATCGATAGCCACCTACAATATTTTAATCCTTAAGCATGTCATATCAGTAAATTTAGTAGCAAAGCATATATGGTATGAGTCTGATCGCTGAGACAATTATCCATAGTATTAATTCCGAATATATTGCTAACAATTATCATAATCTTCTAGCAAACTGCCATATAATGTGCCTGAATATAATGTTTTAATACCTACATATTTCTTCCTAATGCTCATGTTGCATTAAAGTCCAACAGCTATTTTTATGGCCACTATATTTGTCTTTGATATCTTTATATAAAATATTGTATTTCTTAATGTCATACTCCAGGACCTCCTTAAAAGCATCAATGAATGTAAATTGCTATTTAATACTTAAATTTATAGTAATGGCGGCGCCGATTTGCAAATAAACTAAAAAACTTATCTCAAATCTGTTAATACTTCCATTAAAACATATAAAACAACAAAACAAGTGTAAAAATAACATTATTTATTTTAACCTGTTTTAAGTGCGATGGGTCGTATACAATTAATAAACTGTGAAAGCATAAGTTTAATCTGATTATTGTAATTTCGGTGGGCTCATTAATCAGTAAATACTTAGTAAAGTATAGACTTATAAATCAAACGAAGTGGTAATTGAAAACGTCTGCTAATAGACTATTAATTAGGATTACGTGTGAGTTAATGAATAACCTGTCGCGGGCCCGTTGCAGCCGGCTTTGAACTGCGTTATTTGTGATGGGCGCTATGGTTGTACATTGAACTTTGATTTTATAACCATATCGAGCTAATAGCGATTACTTTATTTCCTCTATATAAGGTAACTGTACTGTAGTTAACATATTGAGAAGAGGTCATGTCTTGAACTGATAATAATTAATTAATTAAATATATTTCTTATGTATAAAATCTCGTGTCACAATGTTAGTTACCATACTCCTCCGAAAAGGCTTGACCGATTTTTATGAAATTTTATATTCATATTCAGTAGGTCTGAGAATCGGCTAGTATCTAAGATTTATTTTTTATTTTTAAAACAAAATTTTTATTTTTTTATAATGTGGCATTGTAACATACTTACACCCCTATATTCTGAGCCTTCTCTCATCAATCTCTATTTTTAAAAAGCGATTTTAAAATATATGGTAAAACAACGTTTGTGGGGTCAGCTAATTACTAAATATAATTCAGTAATACAATTTCAAAATAATATGTAATGTACATCTACATCTATAGATAAACATAGACTATTCGGAACCATTTTATAGAATAAGTCCGCCATTGTACAAATTTATTACATACGTTTACTGTTTCTTTTTAAACTAAACCTTATTTTACAATGGAGAATTAGTAAACTTGACTTTATCTTCTTACTCAATCTCACTTTCTAAAACTAAATATTTTTATCAACATTTTATAATGAAGTTTTCTTGTGTATTGAAACAAAGAGTATAGTGGTACTTAATTGCATCATCATTACCACAAAAACAACGCGACATAGCTTTTATTTTTATACGAAACAAATTAATGTGTTGTGCCACAAGCGGTGACAGCTGAAAGAATGAGGCATATTAAATTTAACATAATAAAGCGGACCGGCTGTAAACTGATCATGTAATTGGTTAGAAAACTTTAATTGGCCCTAATGTGTTCTTATAAATCAATTAATAAGCTCTGGTCCTCCTTATACTTTGACTCCTCGACTACGTTTGTGGACTGAATCATTCATTCATAAATCTTTGTACAAATGTAATAAATACAATTCAATTTACTCTCGGAGTCAATGTTTACTACTTCGTTAGTATCTAAATTAAACAATATCATGTCACTTAATTGTAGTTACGAGAAATGTTTAATTTAATGATAGTTCGTTATCCAACAAGCAACGAGTGTCTTTAAATTGTGCATTACAATTATTAATTTTCTACTTAGTAATTACTCAGCTTGCATAACTACGAGTATACTCATGTAGACACTACACTTAAAAATAAAAACTTTGATATTATACTCGTATTTGAAAGAAAATATTATTTATATATAGCTATTACAATAGCTTTCGATGTATATACACAATTCAAATTAACGTACAAGCAAATATTATTGATTTACACATTGGTATTACTATTATAAATTAGTTAAAATTAGCATTATATAAAATTGATAACAATATATTCGTTGTACATAATAAAAATATTGTATATAATAAAATATAAGGTATTTTAGGGCAAAGTTAGGTACATGAGCGGCTGATTGTAAATAACTTCTACAGTATAAGGGATTATTTGACATACGAACTTTGACTTGTAATGTAATCTAATTAATGTGTAATAATGTAATTATAATTTTAATAATATTGATAGATATTATTGCAATACCGTGACATATAGTTATTTTATTGTGGAACCACTTATAGTGTTTTTAATGAAAAGAAATTTAATGACATATTGTATTAAAATAATTATTATACCAATTGCAATATTTGCATACCTCTACGGAGTGCTGCATGTTACTTTTATTATATTGTAAGATCAAAATTACCATGTAGCAAATAAATAAATTATTGTTATTAAAAATGTTTTGTAAAATATAAAATTAAATTAAAACATGTTTTGAACTACCTATATTACATGAATTTTGTGATTTGCATTTAATGGATATAATCGGATATTTAATTTTTAATCTCATCATAGTTTGTCAATGTTGTCATAGAAGATAATTTTTAGCACATATTCTATCAGTGTTTAATCTATATCTTTTGAGTAATTTACAACATACCAATATCACAAGATAATTAGGCTATACTTACATATAAAATGACGAGAAGCAGGCCGGTACCTTTCATCTTGTTCTTTGTTTCACTGAGTCAGATGATGTTTTTAATCAACACTCTTCGCATTAACATAACAAATTCATATTTTTATTAAAAAATAATTTATTTAAAACTTTGTTGTTTCAATAATCAATATAATGTATAGATTAGATATGCAACGTAGGTACTAAACTTTCTTTACATCAATAAGAGGCTGCTTATAGTAGAACATTATAATTATAAGTACCTTGTAAATCATCCTGTTATGATTATACAAGACACGAGAGATATATTTTTCGAGATGCATTGGTAAGGTAAAATTATACTCAGTGCGTTTATATCCTGTCTTAGATATTAGGAAAACTCTTACAAATTTAATTTAAATATGTGCAATTATATTTTAGTGAATTGTATTTAGTTAGGACAAATATAATTATTATAACCTATAATTGATTATATTAATGTTGTTATAAATTACTTGATTTCAGTTATAATATAAATATTAAGTTTGTCATAAATACAAACTACTTAATCATCATATAATTATAAAGACAAGAAAGTTATATATATATAACAATCATTGAATTTAATTATCATCATGGGTATGAGGTAATGTGAAAATAAAACAGAGTAATTTACTACGTAAATAAAAGTAATATGTGTGAAGACTAACATTAAAGGAACAAACCAAATATCCGACAAAGAGATTTAACCAAAGCAATTATAAACGCCAAATAGCTATTACGAATGTTAGGGATCATTGGTGATGGTCTCGTATGTAGTGCCAACACAACTCTATTACTCGCTTTGATCTTACACGAATTAAATTTAAGCGAGTATTAACTAAATCCCCATTGATATCTTTATAGTACTACTACCAGTAACTTTATCTTAACGTGAATATTTCGCA